CTCGGCCGAACCTCCTAACCAACACAACCATACATCAAGACATCCCAACAACTGAACAATTAATCGCATAATTCAGCTAAATAAGGCCTGATTATCAATGAACTACTGAAGTAACATGACAACTTCACATGAGTACTCCCGGAAACACATGAGCACCCATGGATACGCACACGGCCATACACAGCTGCACGGCTCCGTGCCACGACAAGAACTCGACTTGAATTACGCTTAAGCTAACTTATTACTAACATGATCGATTCAAGATAAGCCTGAATTACCTCTGTAACCTCCGATCAGCTGCACCTCCGGCGAAGGAAGGTCCTGATGCGATGAACTCGACACCTTGTGCTTCGTGTGCGGTGGATATGGTATGGCGGTGCGATAGCTTCTTGCTTTGCTTGGAGTATGGAACAATTTCTGATCTCTCTCTCACTCTTATATGAAGAACTCTGTTGCTGAACTTAGTATAGGAAGAAGGGGAAAATTCTGACCAAACACTCTAATATAAACCGAGAGAAAGAGATGGAAATTGTTGGGATGATGAGGGCACGGCGTGGCCACTTACTTGCCTTCCAATTGGTACTAATTTGGTAACTTAGTGATGACTAATCACCTTCACATTTTGCCACGTTTTATACCAATAAGAATGAGGAAAATAATTTTCCCAAACTTGAAGAAAGCTTCGGTTTTTATTGCTGAATTGGAACAAAATCACCTAAGTCACGGCTTTGGCTTATTATGTGATTAATTTGCTTAATTAATCACTAAATATGTTTAATTATTCAATTAAACATAATACTTAATTACCAAAATTATTCCGAACATAAACGGTACGTCGAAAATAAATTTCGGTAACCTCGACTAAACATAATTAATTCCGACAATAATAAACGATAACATTATTATATCAGAATTAAAACATAATTTATACCGATAAAATATCGGGATATTACACATATGTGACCGTCGCCGGCGCGATACGCGTCGCGGTCGTGACACCAAATGTCGACCTACAGAAGCGCGCGACGGCGTGTCGCAGTCGCGACACGGAGGCTGTCGCGGGAGTTTTTAATTTTTTTTCCTTTTGTAGTCACGATGAAACTCATTTTGTGAAATAATGTGAAATATCCCGTCATGTTATAAATATAATATCATGTTTAGTTCCATAATATCTATATCAGTAAACGTTTTTCGGAACTATTTATTTCATTCGAGAATGTTTGAATTAATTTTCGTATATCACGTTTATGATTCGGAATAATTTTCTGATAGTTAATCGCTCAATAATTAATTTTACCGAGCTTGAGTTCATTGATCATGCATTAATATTTTATCAAATGACCTAAGCGGTCTATGATCACACCCTAATTGAAGCTTCCGCACGTCATTAACACGGAGGTGCTTAAGCGCATGCATAACTGCGCTCAACTTATCTTAGCACGTCTTAAGCCATGCTTAGTACTTAATTTCCGAGAGCTAAGGCTCTTCTAAAAGTTCACGTGAAGTCATCATTATATGATACACATGGAAGCATATAAGACCATTTGAGCTATGACTAAGCAATTCACTTGGTGATTAAGCACCAAGGAGCCACCTTAGGCCATGGATGTGCGGCACTTGGAACACGACCACTGGCCGAGAGAATTCATCTCAACTTTACCATCTTTTATTCGAGCATAAATTTAGAAGTTGTGGTGAAATTATAGCTTAATACTTAAGCTATAGGATCAGCAAACACTAAACAAATATTAGCCTTAAGCACACGCACACAGCAATTGAGCTCACGCACACACACCCGAGGCACGGAGATTGCAAGTTCATGTGAATTTCATCGAACACTTGAGGAGGTAACTTCATCCTCAACCTCTTTTCATGTTAAAGAGTTCATGATAAGTCGAATTGTTCAGCTCTTGATCCAAAAGTTCATAGAAATGCTAAGATGGGTTCGGTTTTTAGGCCATATTGGCCGTGACCGAGTAAAGTCCATGTTTTATCCGACAACTCCTGAGTAATTCATGCTTATTTGATCATTATAAGTTATTTTATACTCAGTGCATTCATGTTGGTCGAGGCAAGTT